AAGAGTACCAATTATAATAAACTTGTTTTAAACCAATTGAATTATTTAACTCCAACTGAGACTCCACAACGACAACACCAGACAATATTCCACTGTGTCCAGAATTCCATCCCTGGGACACGACAATAGTATTATATATATATAGTTTGCGGTTTATTAGTAAATAGATACATAAGAATATGTAAATTAGATGCAGTGAAGGCTTTTGAGTGCACATGCACATAGAGTGAATGGTAATGTCCTATTGTGGGTGATTATGCGATAGTTAAAAAAAAAACTGTTCTAATCAAGGGCAAACGCAATCAAGAAGGGATCGAGCTTTCTATTCCATGTATAATTTATCGCAAATTCGCAGTCTCAACTGTTGCAAAATATTCATTAACGTTCGAATGGATTGACGTATCCCATTTTTGGGTATCCAGAAATTATCAATAATTCAAGGCGTGCGACGGAAATGCGTTCATTAATGAACAATCATCACGGCAAACATCATCAACGTCTGTGGAGTTGAATGCCGAATGAATGGGATTTCCGAACTGTAGCAAAAACTTTTAAAAATAAACACTGACCGAGTAGAATAGAGTCTCATAGGTATTCGCAATGAGTGCGTTCAACTAAGCCTTTGAACGGCCCTGACATTACAGGTTTTTCCTAGTCTGTACCAAGCAACAAACCGAAAAAAAAAGCAAATTACAAGTGGTTAACAAAAATAGTCTGCGAAGAGGAAGAATGTATGCGTGTAAGAGATGGAGAAATGCTGCGGAATGTAATATCTTGTTGATGTGATATCTTTTTGTATGTTTCAGATCCGGATTACGAGGCGAGTCTGTCCAAGGTGACGGGACGGCTCTTCGCAAATTCGCCGCCCTTTGACCTATCGACTTTGGACGGAGTGGGCGAGGAATGCCGGAAGGACAGTCGCCGGTTCCTCGACGCACTGCGGACATTCCAAATGTGGGCACTCCAAAGTAGGTCCATTTGCAATAAAAAATAAAAAAAACAACATTATAATAACACACTCGAACCTTACTCTCAAGGTCGACCCGATCCGATACCAATTAAACGCACAAACGTTACGAAACCGACCCAAGGCCGATCAATGATCCAATCCTAATAGCATTTTTTTTACTTGTTTCTGTTTTCCTTCTTCTTGCATATGTCAAATACAAACATTCCTTTTTTTGTAAAACGTGTAACGGACATCGACCAATGAATCACTTCAATTAATTCCATATTCTCATAATTAAAGTGATCAATTAATTATTTAACACAGATTTTAATCAGTTGTTAAGTAATCAATTATTTTTTGCATTTTTCGAATTAGTTAAATACAAAAAATAATTATTTTTTTAAATAAAAATAAAATTGTCAAATATATCCTTATGCAGATACATTTTTAGTATCTATAAATAATCAAGAAAGCTTTGCATTTATTTCATCTGTAATTTTAGAATTTGTTTTTCTTTTATAACATTATTTCCTTTTTTTTACTAAGAAAATATTATAAAATTTGTTTTATAATATGATAATATGACTTCTCTTTTTACAAAGTAACGAAATTGACATGTAGTTACATATTCTCATAATTATGTATTAACTATTTCATTTAACGCAAATACAAATTGAAATCGATCAAACTTATATTGAGTTCTACTGGATTTTTAGTGATTATTTACCACTTCTCTCTAAATCTGTCAAATACTAATTTGACTTCCCTTTTTTGTAATAAGAAACGATTTCATCTGTCATTTAGTTGCATATTCTCATAATTAAACTACAAATTAACGCAAATACTGATTGATCAAACTTTCATTGCTTTCAACTGGGTTTTAGAAAAAATGTTTGTATTTGACATCTGTCAAATGATGTCAAATGAAAAATCATTTTTCACTTCTTGACAGATGTCAAACACAAATATTTCGAGAAACAAAAATTGACCATTGAACAATTTCATTTAACGTAAATACAAATTGGAATTGATCGAACTTGCATTAATTTCATCTAGAATTATAATGCAAACACAAATATTTCTTCTATTTTTGAAAGAGAAACGAACATTGACCAATGAATCACTCACATTAATGCCAGATTCTTTTAATTAAAGTAATCAACATATAACATAAATACAAATTGTAGTTGACCAAACTTGCATTTATTTAATCCGGGTTTTTAATGATTATTCTTTATTTTCCAATACTTTGACAGATGTCAAACACAAATCATTCTTCTATTCGAGAAACGAACATTGATCACTGAATTACTCATATTAATTCCAGATTCTCATAATTAAACTAATCAATTATCTATATCATTTAATCACTTGTTAAGTTTTTTATTGATTTATTATACATTTAAAACAAAATCTTATGGAGCAAACCACTTTTTACATCTGTCAAATACAAATTTTCCTTCTTTTTTTAACAAGAAACAAAAATTAGCCAACTCTCATTTAATTGCAGATTCTTACAATGAAACTATAAATTCCCTAATTAATTTAACACAGGAATCAGATTGTTAAGAAATCAAACTTTTCATTGATTTCTTCTAATTTTTTTTTAGTAATTGTTTTTCTCAAGTTTTGCTGCTTCTTCTGACATCTGTCAAATACAACTATTCCAGATTCTCATAATTAAACTCTCAATTTACTATTTTATTTAACACAAAGACAATGTTTCCTTTCACTTCATCTTTGATGCAAGCAAACATTCATTTTTTTCTTTACGAACATTGACCAATGAATCATTTGCATTAATACCAAATTAACATAAGCAAAGTAATCAATTAATTATTAAGTAATAAATTAACCTCATTTTGCATAGATATCAATCAGTTGCATTTTTTTTAGCATTGTATTAATAGGCATAACAATCAATAAAATATTTAACGAATTACAAATAAAAACTCGTGAATTCGAGTTGATTCAATTCTGTCAATGAACGAAATACAACTGTAAATGTGTTATAAATCCGGTTTCGCTTCTTTTTTTTCAATGAAATACACTTAATTCTGGTTATATAGGTAAAATATGTTTATAAAAATGCTTCATAAAGTACTTAATTAAAAAAAAATATATTTATCAATATAATGATTATACAATAAATGATTTTGTTTAATTACTAAAATATATACACATTTCACACCTTTAGTGTTATTTTTAAGTGAACATCATCGTTACATGTTATTTTTATTTTTTTTGTGAACTTTGTATTTGAATGACTAATAATTTTATGTTTTATTCATTGAATATATACATTTTTATTAATGATTCATGTGAATATGGTCAAAGTACTTGTCAAGTAAATGAACTCACATTACGCAATAATTGACATTACCGCGAGTAAATAAATTAACATGATAAATTTTGTTTTTTTTTTAACATATTTTATTCAGTAATATCAGCAATTACATAAATTTTGCATTATATCAAATAATTATTAATAAAAACTGCGTTTCACCATTCACTTTCAACAATATTAGCATAATTTATGAAATCGATTTGTGCAAGTAACGACAATTATTTCAACTTAGCATATTTATTAATTAATAGATTTAATTAAATTTCAATGAAAAAGAAAAAGAAAAGCAAATATTACTTTTTGTTTATATTTTTAACAGATTTTGTTCTCAATTAAGCATCTACAAGGAATTATTTTAGCCTTGTATACTTTATTTATTGTAACATTCATTTGTTATACTTTTTCCAAGTTTCCATCAGGTTGCTTAACTTTCAAAGCTGTCAAATCTGTACAACCCAATGACAGAATATGTTTTATAGATGATAACATAATTTGATCTTGTTACATTCTATTTCAAGATTGAAAATGGTATGAATCATTAATGCAAGTTTCCATCAAATTGCTTTACTTTCATTGCTGTCATACCTGTCGCAGTTAAATATCATCTTGTTTTCATTCTATTTCAAGTTTCAAAATGGTATGAATCATTAATCCAAGTTTCTATCAGGTTGCTTAACTGTCAAAGCTGTCAAACATTTACGAATCATATGTTTTATAGAGGATAATACAATTTCATCTTGTTTTCATTCTATTTCAAGTTTGACAATGGAATGAATCACCCATTCAAGTTTCCATCAAATTGCTTTACTGTCAATGCTGTCAAACCTGTAGCAGTAAAATGTCATCTTGTTTTCATTCTATTTCAAGTTTAAACATGGTATGAATCATTAATGCAAGTTTATATCAAGTTGCTTAACTGTCAAAGCTGTCAAACCTATACGAATCATATGTTTCATAGAGGATAATACAATTTCATCTTGATTTCATTCTATTTCAAGTTTGACAATTGATTTCATTTTATTTCAAGTTTGACAATGGAATGAATCACCCATTCAAGTTTCCATCAAATTGCTTTACTGTCAATGCTGTCAAACCTATACGAAGCAAAGACATCATATGTTTTATAGAGGATAACATAATTTGATCTTGTTTACATTCTATTTCAAGTTTGGAAATTGAATGAATCCAAGTTTCCGTCAGATTGCTTAACTGTCAAATCTGTCAAACCTATACCAGCTATACCACAATGACATCATATGTATTATACAATGTTATATAATTTGATCTTGGTTTCTTTATTTAACCAACACGCAATTAAATTGACAGTAGCTTTAAATCTAAAAATAATAATCATTGTCGTTTTATGTCGACTTGCATAACGTAGCGAATGTTTATCATTTTGCGCCAATGCAAGTACTTTTTTGTTCGTGTTTATTCAGTGGCAAGAACCTTGCATTTGTGTACTAGCATTATTAGAAGTCGTTGACCACGTAGAAACGCATCGAAGAATAAAAAAATATATATGATTGCAAATTAAACCGGTTAAGTTTTATTCATACTTTACAATGAATTTAAAAAAAACAATTTCAACAGTTCAGATTCATAAAATTTTGAAACTAGTTTTAAAATTAAAGTTTTTATATATATTTTTAATTACTTCCTAATGTAATTTTTGACTTGTTACTTTTCTAAAACAAAAATATGAAGAAAAACTACTAAACCTTGAAATTTTGCAAAAAAAATATTTAATTAAATACTGATGACTAAAATGTCTATTACCCTATTTATTACTTATTTTTATATAAAAAAAAAAGCAAGAACTACTAAACCTTGAAATACTGCAAAAATAAAACAATTAATTTAAGTAATCCTACAGATGTTATTGAGGTGGGTTGTTTTATTAACTAGTGATGTTTTTTTAAAGGCAAGAACCACTAAACCTTGAAATACTGCAAAAGCATTTCCTCCCATACAAAAACCTTTACAAATACATTTCAATTTTAAATTTACTTAAATAATTTTACAAAACAGAAACTGTTGTTGTTGATAAGCAGAGACAATTACATGTAAATTTTATTTGAGATGTCCTCGACTAAAGTGTGTTACACACTTAATTAGTATTTACCTAGATCCGAAGCGAAGGTGAATCGTGTAGGTAATAATGCGGAAATTGTATAACGAAAATTGGAAATTCTATATGAACTTACAGAAATTATCCGATTTCTTGATGTACGCTCATATTGTTCAACTGTTCTTGATCAAGGCCGAACGCGCATTGTTGATTTTAATGCACGCATATTAAAACGAACAGATGAAAATAATAATTAGAAGTGGTTTCGATGATTTTTTTTTTCAATTGTATGGCAACTCGAGTATTTCTGGTTTGCAAGGTCTGAAATTGAAAATTGTAAGTAACAATTAATTTTTGTTAAAAACTAGTTTTTAATCAAAAGTCATATTTATGTCATTTTGATTGACAACCTAACTTAAAGGAAGGTTTAGTAAACGTCAAATCATTATATATTAGGTTAGAATTAATTGGTTTTGTAACAAAAGTAATGAAGTGAAGATTATTTTATTATAAGTTTTTAGATTTGATCAATTACAATACATACAATGTAAAAAAGTTTATATATTAATTTTTATATTTTAATATTTTGCATATATCTTCGACTACCGTAAATAATTCATGATCAGATTACAAAACTTCAAAAGTATGTGTGTCAAAGCGTTTCAACCAATTTGAAATTCCTTTTATTATTTTTTTTTCTTGAATAGTTACTTAATCGAATTAGACTTTGCCTCGAGCACGTAACGAATCCAAAGTCGATTGAAAAATATGTATAAATGTCGAAATTAATCTCATCATTTTCGAGAATATAACATCGCTGCATCGGATTACGCAAAAAAAACCTGTTATTGCGTTCGTGGACTTGAGTTTAGAGTTTAATTTCAATTTATCTTTGCAGTGTACGATGCATCGGCCAAAGTACCATCCGGATTCCTCAGCGGTAACATCAATCAACTCGGCGATTTCGACCTGTGCATGTCATCGAGATCCATGGAAGATAGACCTATCTACGGAAAATATTGCCTTCCATCGTTGCAGGTCGAAACGCCGCACAACGCTTACCTTTCAGCCATCCACAATCGACTCTACGCTCATCAAGTTTTGAAGAGCAAATTCGAAGATGTAAGGAAATTATTGCATGTTTATTTTGTTTGTGATGTTTTAAAGGTTTCTCTTTTCAGCCCGGACATAGGGTTCCAAAATTCTCCAGTGTCAATTGGGCGCTCTGCGTTCCTCACACCTGCACCACCAGAGACGTGGACATCGGTTTCAGGAATGTAGTTCAGCAGATCTTCGCTGGAACCGATTTCGAGTACAAAACGGAAATGGATCCGCAGATGTGCTCGAGCGCGAAACCCGAAACGAACGTCAATTATGGTTTCATCTACGGCACAGCCTTCTTCGTTTCCGTTTTCCTCGTGGCTGCTGCTGCAGGTCTTTACGATTACTTGAACGGCGATAAACCGAAAAGTAAGTTCAAATCTAATATAGAAATGTATCAGTGAACGTAAATGACAACATGTTCTTTAGATGATTGGATTATGGCGTTCTCGTTACGCAGAAATCTTCAATCCATGTTATCCATTGAAAAGCAGGCAAACGACTTGGAGGCCGTCCACGGAATTCGCTTCATTAACGCCCTAATGTTGATCTTTTCACACAAGTCGATGGCTCTGCTCTTCTTGCCATACACCAATCGTACTGCAATGAGTGAGGTATGTAAATAAACTAAAAATTTTAAAACTAGTTAATCATTATATGTTTTCACAACTGCCTTCATTTTTTTATAAATTGATCTAAGAATCGATTTGTTGACTTTCGTATTGAATTTTGAGTATTTAAATTATTGAGTAAATGCATTACAGTATAAGTAGTTTGGTTAACGACTGCGAGGGGGCGACAGTTGCTTGGTGCTCAATTCGAAAGATTGAAACAAGCGTGTATTGGACACTGCTCAGTGCGACGGTCGCACCTCTTCGTCATTCTGCTCTCCCGGTGTAAAATAGGGAAATTTCCCTCGGAATGGACACGTTGTTCGCCTCCACGTCAAGGAGGAGAGGAGACGCCGAGATTCTGTGTTTCCACAAAATTATTTCGCATCGGTTTCGGACGGGGGAGAAAAATGCAAGAAGCCCACAAAGGACACCTGCGCTCACTACTGTTGCCCTGGCGGACGACGGAGTAATTCGCGTCCGAAGCGCCAAACGCCGGAGACACGAAGGAAGGACACAAACAGCGACCGCCGAAGACGCGAATCCGCCGAAATACAACCAGGAGAACAGAATACCGAAGAGGTGGAATGTTACTGAAAACTGTACAAGCAACGCGAGCGCCTCCTCCGATTCATGCGCTCCTGGTACGCGACAAATGATTTTGGTCTTTGGACGCACCTCATGTGACACCACCGCAGCAGGAGGGTGAAGAATCCCAAAATCCTGCAGCAGCCGCCTCCTGCCTCTCTCTCTCACAACAAACAATGCATCTCCTGCAACTCATGCTATCCGCGTTCTTTAGCCGGCAATCTCGGATCAACTCTGTTTTAAGTCGGACGCCGTGCGTGGGAGAGACGCGTTATCTACTTTTAATTCCGGATTACCATACACACACTATGTGTGAATGCGGGAAATTTGAATGTTCTGCTCTATGACTAAACTAAATTATAATTAATATCATTCTTTCCAGATCATAGGACAACCGTGGACCGTGATAGGAAGAGCGGCTAGTCTTTACACGGATCCATTCATAATGTTATCGGGTACCCTAACGGCCTACTCCCTTTTCGGTCGCCTCCAGAAGAATATCAGGATCAACATCCTGGAGGAATACGCTTCCAGATTATTCCGCATCGTTCCAACCCTAGGAGCTCTGATCCTCTTCTGCACCTTCGTCTTGCCCTTCATCGGATCTGGCCCAATGTGGAACCTCGTCATAACACATCATTCCCACATCTGCAAGAAGAATTGGTGGAGAAACCTCATGTTCATCCATAACTATTTCGGATTCAAAGATATGGTAATTACATTTCTGATAAAGTAAGTAAGTAGAAAACTAAAGTTGATGTTTCTTTTACAGTGTTTAACGCACACTCATCACGTCGGTATTGATACACAATTGTTCTTCACCTCTCCATTCATGGTCCTGGTGTTATGGAAATGGCCGAAGAAGGGAGCATTCACCCTTGCAACTATTGCCTTAATATCGACGATCATGAGATACTACGTCACCTACAGCATGAAGCTATCCAATTACATTCACTTCGGCACCTCGTAAGAAAACATTTTCGACATAATTATTACAATCTTTCTAATCAAACTGATTTCAGCATTGAACAACTCTTCAACACAGCCGATTACATGTACATCCTTCCGCCGCATCGTCTCACCGTCTACATCATGGGCATATTCCTGGGTTACCTTCTGAGGAATTGTAAAAACATCATCCTCAAACCGGTAATTATCGAATTACATCTATTACAAAACAATTATTTCAATTAGCTGCAACGAAATCGAGGTCGAACTATTCAAATAATTGACACTAGTTAGATGCAACATTATTTCTATTAAATGAAGAGGTCAACAGTTCATAAAGATGAAAACAATTTAATTACCGTTAACGTTATTAATTTAAAAATTACACATTGATTATTTAATTGAAGAAGCCTCATATACTAAACATCAAAACAAAAATTAATAGAAAAATTAACACTTAAGTAATTTGTAAATAATTGCTTTTATTCTGATTTCAGATTCAACTTCAATTTGGCAATGTGCTAGCAATCATCTCCTTCGTGACTTCTTTCATTGGACCTGCCTTCATGGGCAGCATAAACTACATTTACGATCCAGTACATGCGGCTTGGTACGCCTCTTTCGCTCCGATCCTCTGGTGTTTCAGCTTCGCGTGGATCATCTTCACACACCAAAACGGCTACAAAAGTATAATCATATCACCAATTACCATTAAAATAAACTCAATTAATCAATTTCTAAATTACAGGCTTCATCAGCGAAATGTTCGCCTTTCGCTACTTCAAACTCTGGACGAAAATCTCGTACACAGTATACCTGACGCAGTTCCCAATATTCTTCTACAACGTGGGAACGCTGCGACATTCAGAGTATTACCAGTTCATACCCAAAAACGTAAGATATTAAAATATTTTTTAAGGCAATAAAATTTATATTTTTATGTAATTTTTCAGTTAAACATATTAGAATTGATCTGCATTTTCGGCCTCTCGTCACTGCTGACTCTCCTCTTCGAAACGCCGTTCCAGAACATCAAGAACATTATCTTCAGAAAGAAGCGGGCCCCAGAAACGGCGAAGAAGTTGAGCTAAAAGCTCTTCGACTTTGAACGAATTAATCACCCACACTCAAACATATCCTGTACATATTAATTTTAGGTTTACTAAACACACTAAATTAACTATTTAAATGTATTATTTTTTTTGTATGTACATTATAATAAATTAAGGTTTATAAATAGAATTTTCGTCGTATTTATTAATTAATGAATTTTAAAAAGAAAACACAAACAAATCAGAATATATTATATATATTTTATTCAGCAATCAAATCGAAAATATAAGTGTTTATAACGTACATAATAGAGTTCAACTTTTAGGCTACATTTACATATATTATCTTTTTTTTCTTCTTCAGTTTTAGTTTCACTTTTATTTTATTTTTTTGTTTGTTTTTGTTTTCGCACAGTCAGGGCAAAACGTAAGTATAATTATTAATACAAGGAAACATTATAATGTCCTTATCACAATTAATAGTTAAACGAAACTTATTCTAAACGACAAAGAAACAAATAAAAAATGTATTTTACGCCTAAAATTAGATTTAGCATTCGCTGAGTGGCAAAATTAAAGCAACAACAGAAAAAAAAAAGTAAACTGGTTTAGATGTGTCAAAAATATCGTGCGCTGAGAATAATAATTGAAGAGAACGAAAGTATAAATATAAAGTGAATCCACTTTTTTTTAACAGGCGAACATTTAAGGCATACACAACTTCTTTTCTTCGTGGAACGTCTCTTGAAGGCAAATAATGTAAAGACGAGAAGGAAAGACTGAAAATAACAGTTAATAAAAAAATGGTTATCGGAAAAATATCATTATGCGATGGGTTTGTCCTCTGGAATTGTGGGGCTGGTGGCTACCGAACCGGAGCGAGATCTCAGGGCGTCGTCCAAGCTCTGCTGGGAACCAGAACGAGAAACGCCACCAACTTTAGTCTGCAAAACAAGATGCCACAAATTAAATAGAGAGAAACGTAAAAATAAAATCAGTTAAACGCCGAGATAATCAAGATATTAGTATTGCCCTGCGTTTATTATTAATAAAAAGAAATAAAAAATATCAACGGAAATTTAAAAAAAGTGACTCAAACAATAATTTGTTAATGGATTAGACAAATATTAAAAATGAAAAATAAATTAAAAAAAAACTCACTAATTAAACCAAAACTAAATAACGTCCTACACCTTAACTTAATTATTTACAAGAGAGACCCCAATTAATTGGTTGGTGTAACAGAGAACCTTCTCTATAAAAAGAAAAAAAAACAAAAGGATCTACGTGAAAATCAAAGCACTAATTTAAAAAAAAAAGCACATACATTTTATAAAGATAAATGTAATAGAACTTACCTTAACGTTTTCAATAGCCGAGGCGGCTTTCTCTTCAAAAGATTTGAAGGATTCGGAATGTCTCATCTGTCCAATCTTGTTGGTGATGCCGCCGGTGAAACCACCGATCAACGAAGTTGTTTTCTGATAACTGCAAATAGAAAATTTTGATTTTCATTTTAAACATATTCCATGGTTATTTTGAAATCCAATTGGAAGCTAACTTACATCGGCGCATCGGTAACTGCCTTAGTGACCTGACCAACTTTTGATTCAACAGTTTGATAACTACGATAAATAATGAGAAAATAAATAAATAACATAACAGAATAAATAAATTAAAACTATTCACAGAGTAAAATGTAATTAAAAATTGATGATGCAATAGCATTAACTATCATTAAATAATTGAAACTAACATACTATTTGATAATGTAATCTTCAAATAATTGAATTAACATGCAAATCATGCAGCATAAATAAAGATAATAAAAGCGTTATTCAATGAAAAAATACTTTAGTCAATACTAACTTGTTCTTAAATAATGATTAACTTTCACGAACTTTACGTTATGCTTCAGTTAATATTAAGTTTACATGTATGAGACATAATGTTGGAAATGTATCGCTTTCCCGTGAGATTATATTTTCTTTGTAAATTATATGACTCATGAATACTCATAGAAAGTGTTATTGATTAATTGAAGTGGCAAACAAATAAAAGTAAAGCAGTAATATTTGATTGATGGAATTGTATAACTGATCAATATCCAAGTGCGACACTTGAGTAATCAAAGAGAGGTCATATTTGGGTTAACACATACGTATTGAAGACACTATTGCTATGAATCTTTAACGTTATGATATTGCGTTGTAATTTTAAATATATTTTGTAGGTCAGATTTAGGAAACACGACCGACCGAAATAAAAGTATTGCAAATGCGCGTCTAATGATATTGAACGGTTGTTTACTTTAGAAATTGAAATACAATTTCTCGTTAATTTTTCGAGTAAATACTGCAAATTGTTGATGAAATGTTGATTAAAGCTTCGTTTTCACACATTTGTCGATAGAAATTACTTTTTTACGTTTTCATTGATTATTATTGAAGTTTATAGTTAAAGACTTTCTAAAGATTGAAAAAAGTTTTAAGAACCCTATTTTATACTAGTTAAATTGTGCTTACACATTGCTATCCTTGACGTTCTTCAATCCCTGATTAATATCATCGGTGACTTCTTTCCATACTGTAATGCCCAACAAACGTTTTAGCTCAGCGCTGCGGCGCATTTTGGCTGCTAAAACGGTGCGAAGAGTAGCAATTTCATCATCGATTCTGGCCAACTCGGCCTTGTACTCCTCTTCCCTCTTCAGATGTTCCTCCTCTGTCAAGTTCTGATCATGCAGGGTGCTCGCGTCACCCGCGGCCAGAACATCATCTAAAAAATGAAATTGAATATTTTAACATTTCGAAACGATTTCGAATATTCATCGGTACATTAAAAATGGTTAGTGGTGGGTCTCAGAAAGATTGTTAAACAGTGACATTTCAAGTTGTGGATGATGCGAAGAACCATGACCTCCCGTGACGAAACGCTGGTGTCAAGATCCGCTTACCGTTCCCGTTAGAAATATCGAGGTATTTCCGAAAAGTGTTTTCTTTGGGCAATTTCGCTAGGTAGGGTTTCGTCAGGTCACTGTACGTAACGCGCACTTGCCGCTTAAAGTCCTTGCGGAAGAACGACCGGACGATGGCGTTCGCGCGTTTCGCATTGAAGAATTCCGCCTCGACGTTGACGCTCTCATCCTCGTTTCCGGCTAGAACGGAAGACGGATGATCGTCGAATTCCAATTGGCGTAAATCAAACAGGTCAAGTTCGGCCTCGAGGAGGTCACATCCATCCTCTTCAGCATAGTACTCATCCAGGCTGGGCGTGAAGCAGCCGCCTTCCGGGGGGTTGAAGTACGGATCTTCGATGTATTCCAAGCTCTGGGGTTCGACACTCATCGCACATATCGGTGCATCGATTCGAATGATCCGAAAACTACCTTTTCATACGTCCCACAAAACAGCTGCCATCTCACACAGTGAATCGAACTTTCTTTTCCTCCTTGTCTTGTTGTTCTCTGCTCACTTTCACCCCGAGGCTGAGAACTTACCGGCGACGTTATATGCAACCAGCCAACCATGCGAATGCCAACGCGATTGCAATCATACTCCAATCCTATCTAGCAACACCTTACAACACAATTGATACATTGTTACTCTCCTTCACGCACAACAGCAAATACGTAAAAAAAATGCGGTCATGTTGCACGCTTTTTTGTCTGTATTCTTGTGCGACTAACGGGACTACACAATGAATTCAACCAATAGGATAGGAGCAGAAAAATCCGGTTATAGCAATACCGTTCAAACAGGACACTCAAAACCATAATTAGTTGCATATTGTCGAAACAAAAGAAATAACGCATGAGAAGTCAATGACTTCGTTAATTATAATTAAAAGGAACGTAAACAGCAATTTGTACTGACGTCTGCTTTTTTGTCTCACTTGTCTCGTCTATCCTATTGATTGTAACCAGAGTTACTTTACCTGCTGTCGGACTTCCCGTGTTGTTCATTTCGCGCTGGATGTCTCTGGACTGCGGAGAAAACAAGAATATGGGAAAATTACACTAATTGTTACTAGAAATCGAACGAAAAAAACAAAAACTGAAAAATATACTCGAACTGTCACCTGTCAAACGAGGACTTCGCAATATCTTGCTGGGAGCTGTCAGATCGAAGGCACCGAAGTTGCTACTCTGAAGTTAGCAATGTAAATTCAAATTGGATTACATCTGCAAAACTTATAACAAACTTCTAAAATATTATTTATTACATACTTCTTAATTAATAAATCTAAAAATATTATTTACAAGTTAATATTTATATTGGATATTTGAATATGAAATCAGTAGGCAGTTTTAATTATTAAAAAATATATATTATTTATTATTTCATAGAAATCTGTATTTACACAATTTAAAAGGAAATAAATTAATTAATCAGTTGTAGATGAAGAGCTCTTGCTAATCTGCAATGGCGTTGAGGTTCTCAGCTGTTTCTCTAAAATTGAACCGGAGCAGTGAATAGCGGAAATGTTTTGAAAGTCCGCCAAATATGGAGATATGCTATTATCACTTTTCAAGGTGCTCGAGCTAATGTTCTTACCTCTGATCAAGCTCACGTCGCTGCTAGACTCCTTATTCTCCATAGAACTAGAACTCGATTCCTGCACCAAAGTCTCTCTGGTCTTTTTAATCGTAGTCGCTGCCCAACCCATACCCATATTCCTGAGCATAGCCTCGATGTCCACCTCCGATATATCAGTAGAACTATCTGTACTGTTAGCATCCTGTATCTTCTTGATAATATCTTCGAGAGTTATCTTCGGTGGTTTACATAATCCGCTCGGTCCAGGTTGCGGACTGAAATGTTGAACAGCGTTCTGTCTAACATTTTGTTTGGGACTTGCTTGAGGAGTAAAGTTCTTGATTGCACCCGGTACAGGTTGCGGACTTTGTATAACTCTTGGTCCGGACTGCGGACTTTTGACAGCACTTGGTCCAGGTTGCGAACTTTTCGTTTCGCTGTCAAAGTTAACAGTCTTCGGGCTTTTTTTATTTTGATCAGAAATGGACTTATCCGAACCAGCGTCGCCGCTCAGATTATTGAAGATCTTCATTTGCAGTCCCATCATTTCTATTGCCTCCAAATTGCTGGTAACTGCAGAATTTGCTTTGCTGATAGTTCCCTGTGAACCATCGGAGGCCGTCACGTTAACCAAAATTTCAGGACTCCTCGACCTTCGAAGACTATCGCCCTCGGCTATCGTCGATAACTCGTGCGGCTTAAAGTTCAGTTCCGGTTTTAATCTGGTTACCGTCAAGTTCTTGCTTGTAGGCGGTGGTTTCTTGTGCTTCACATCCGGAAGTTTTACGACGTTCTGCAAGTCGAAATTCAATAGAGGTACAAAATCAACCTCTTTTGCTGCTGGCTTCTCGTCCAGCAACTTCAAATATCTATCCGCTATATCTTTATCAACATCTTGGCTTATAATTCTAGGACTTTTCTTGATCAAATGCTCGGCCAGCTGATCCAAATCAATAGTTAACAGTTTGTTGTTCAACATTCTTTGTTCAGGGCTCGTACTGTTCGTCGAATCATTGGATTTAGGTAAATTGAAGTACGTTGTATTTTCCTTGTCGTCGCTCGTATTGGGACTTTCCATCTGTCTCGTCTCGGCTCTAACTTTAAGCAATTTTTCGTTTATGTCCTGGATTCGCTTTTGGCACTGATCTGCCATTTTGTCGTAATGGTTGCTTATCAATTGAGGATAGTTCGTTTCATCGTATGCTTCCACTGTCAACTCTTGAGAGTTGTTATTATTGTTATTAGTGGTGTTTTTGCTGGTTTCATTTCTTGTTGACGTTGAAGACTTGCTTAGATTTTCGATAAGATCATTGATATCAATATTGCAAAACTTAAGAACATTCATTAGCTTCGCTCTTGGATTATTACTATCCATATTGATTATACTTGAGCTTGGTGTGGATACTTCACTAACAGTGCTTACGTTTAAATCATCAATGCTTCCTCTAGACATATTCAATAATTTCTTAATATAACTTAATAATTTTGGATCTATGTCTTTCGAAGAAGATTCGTTGCTGACGTTACTTTGTTGAGGTTTTTTATGCAAAAGTTTCGCAAAATCGTTTTCTTGTTCCTGACTCGAATTACTAAAGTTCTTACTATCCTCAGTTTTAGAAAATTCAGGTGGGGTCATATACGAAGTGCTACTATTGTTCTTACTAAATTCATCATCCCACGTCTTGTTCTTATTGATAACTGGTTTAGGTTTAGCTGCACGCTTTTTCTTTGAATATTTTTGTTTCTTTTTCTCTTCGCCCAATTTAACTTTTATAGCTTCAATTTCAGAATCCTTTTTAGGACTCTTAATGACTACCTCCGCTTTCTCTTTGTCTGGAATTTTTATTAAAATTTCACAGTAATTCTCATCAACTTTGATACTTTTGCACTCACAAGCTACGTTCCGCGGTTCGTCCTTCGGCGTATCTTCCTTCGAAGTAGTTGTTTCCGTTGAAACAGACGTTTTTACCGGCGGACTAGTCTGAGTACTCATATTTTGCAGAATTAAAACATCTCTGCGCGTTCTTCGCTTAGGACTTTTCGCGCCTTTTTTCATCAAATTCTTGTGTTTCTTAATGGGACTAGTAGAAACGGAAACAGAACTTAATTTTGGTTTAGCCTTAACATTTTCCGAGCCCTCCAGATCAGTGATATTTTGAAGACTACTACCGCCGGGCTCAGTTTCCATCATCAGCATCTCCTTTTGTATCTTCAACTTCTCCAACAAGGATTTTAGCTTTTCGGTGGAAATATCGCTGGAGCTTTTATTAGGTACATCATTGTCCCAACTGCCAGGATTAAAACTCTCTTCGGAGCTGCGTTTCTTTGGTGGAATGGTGATAGTATTGGCTACAAGTTTTTCGAACGCGTTTTCCATTTTGTTCTGCCGTTGCTTCTCTTGGATCTTTCTCCGATCATTGGACATGTGTAACTTGTCTCTATTAGGATTCATTGATGCCAATCTTTCTTGTTTTTGGAGGACTGGCAATTTATGCACCAAATCTTCATAATCCTTATGTATCCTCACCTTTTCCATGGCAAGTTTACCGCGCTGTTCTGCATCATGATCTCGCTTGTATTTCATCTTCTCATAAACACCAGGGGCCTCATTATCTGCGACACAAACCTCTATACTATCCTCAGATATTTTGTGCACACTGTGGTCAGTCATTGATTCACCAGTGTATCTATTTTTGTGATCATAATAAGGCACCCTCGTGGAACAACTTTTATCACAACTGGCAGACTTCAAACTTACTGTAGGCTTTTCTGGAATCTCCTGTACCTGGCATGCACAATCTTTGAGCGTTTGAGTACTATGATCAATTTGTTGAACATCAATTCCTTGGTCCACAGAAAGCTTCGGTTGTATGTCAGGTATTTTCCGACTTTTTATCCTATCCGAAATCCGCGTGTCTTTTGGGAAATCCAACGAAACCTCTTCGGAATCTTAAAAACATACAAAATAATATAATCCAACAATAACAATACGAAATATTTACCTTGAATCGATGATTCACTGAATTTCCTTTCCTCAAAAGTTAAATTCTTTTTCCGTTTTTCAGAATTTCCGTCCTTACATAAACACGAACCAGCCGTGTCTTGAGAACGTGGTGAATGATCATTCTTTTTAGTTTGATTTTTAGGTATTGTCGGTGAACGAGAAGTTCTACGTTTTGATTGGAATTCAGTTGGATTTTTTCTTGAAACGTCTTCTTTAGGTGACCTCGAAGAAGTTCGCTTGGATTGAGGTACTTCCTCTCTTGTTGATAAATACTGTTTGTCTGGGTTTTTAGTGCGTAAATTTCGTCGTGGCAGCATGCTTTCATCATCGGAATACATAGATTTCTCCGTACGATCTTTGACACGTGTATCATCCCCATCTGATAGATATGAATCTTGTATACTGTCTCTATTATAACGAGTACGTGGATGCTTACTAGAATATCTGGAATCTTCTATTTGGTCAGTATTATTTAATGTATGTTGAGGATGCCTTCGTGAGCGAGAATTATAAGTGTCATCACCATCCTTATAGCAACAGTTGGGGTATTTTTGAGATTTTGAATCATCTGCATAATATGACTGCTCTGTATCATCCATATTTTTGTGATTCTTTCTGTCCCTATGCTGTGGAGAATGCTTTCCATTTGAAGTTTTAGGAATATCTTCTTTGTAATAATTGTCCTTATCATTTTTGTGATAATCTCTGGGACTTCTGGATCTTCTATCCTCTCTTCTTCTTTTTGTGTGATCTGGTTCATCTGTTGGACTGGTATAATGAAGGTTTTCAGGTGACCTATATCTATGGCCTCTATTATAATCTATTACCCGTTCTTCAACTTCACTATCAATATTGGATTCACTGGAATCACTATTCTTATTTCTGTAATTAATTACTCTCTGCTCAACCTCAGCTCTATCATCATCATATGAAGATCTGTTATGTCTCTTCAGTTTGGGACTTTTTCCAGTCTTATGACCTTTCAAGTTAGAAACATTATTGTCAACATCAATGGAAACATCTCCAACTCCAGGTACTTTATAACTTTTTGATTTGTTCTTTATTGGAGAAGTCCTCTTTGTTTTGCAGACCATAGCCGCTCTTGCATCTTCTGAATCTCTAACCATCTTTTTTATTTGCTTGGGTATAGCAGCTCTCAAACTCTCCTCGTTCTTCTCAATTTGCTGTTTTTCCTTTGCCATAGTACCTCTGCTATTAGCTTGATCTTTATAATGTTTATCTCTTTTCTCGATATACTCAATTTCCTCATTCTCTTCAATTAAAGCCTGAGTATGTCCCAGACCTATATCCTTCAAGCTCTCTCGATATTGGCCCTGCAAATCAAGAAGCTTCCGATTCTGCCATTCTTTCAGTCTGGTAGCACTTTCCTCTTCCAATTTCTCTTGCTGCTTTGCTTTGACCTTTTTCACGCGTTCCCTGACATTAGCAGCAATGTCTTTGCTTTGCTCGCGTACCTTTTTCGAAAGAAAGAAAAAAAAACAAACAATGTTAGATTAACCTAAAACAACGTAAAAACACCGAACCTGTTGCATTCTCATGATTCGTCTCCTGTTGAGCTCCTCGAGTTCCCTTTGGGAATCCGTGGGCACCATCTTGATGGTTTTTCCCTTCTTCTTATTGGAGTTTCCATTCACATTTATGTTAATAGACATTTTTTAACAGACTTTTTTTTAAACAAACACAAGTTAAAACACATTTTAAAACGGTCGCTTCCGCTCAAGATCCATTTTATTATAAAAATCTATTGCAGCCGGATTCGTTTCCGGGGTCAAGGGTTTATCAATTAAATTATTCACTTTAAAATAAATTATAAATAGTAAATAAAAAAAACTTTCAAACTTTTAACTCACAAACACAAACTGACAAACCATGTGTCAATATTGTTTAGATTCAGGTCTACCAACTGATTACAACTAATTATTAACGTATATGACTTACCAATCTTCAAAAATTTTAACGTATTTTCTTAAATTTTCTATATTATCTATAAGAGTCTATTGAAATCCCGACGTTCCAAATCCCGACTATGTCAAAATCCCGACTACCATAATCCCGACTATATCGAAATTCCGACTACCATAAAAATGTTATTGTAGAAATTTATAATAATTAAAGACACTGTTGGGATTTCGATATAGTCGCGATTTTGAGCCAGCCGGGATTTCGAACGTCGAGATTTCGGTTGTCGGGCTTGCGATTGCCACCGATGTGGCTGTACAGCTAAATGGAAGAGGCTTTTCCTAGAGGGAAGAAGCAGGCGAAAGAAAAAAAATATATAAATCTGCAAAATGATTTAGTTTCGTCTATTTTCTTAAATTCTGGTAGAAATATCTGTGGTTGAGAATATCAGAGTTTCAATAAAATGTAGCTAGAATATGATATTAATTATTTTATTAACAATATTATACTTGTGATATATTACTATAATCTTTTACTAAATAAAATCTGTTTACTTCTTAATTTCTATTGCAATAGCAACCATGTCATCAATAAAATCGTTTACGCGTCTGTTAACAGTAGAAAACATTCTGCACTGTACAATATTCTTATCCAAACCATTTGTGACCTGTCCTTTCATAAAAAGCGAATCCAGGTTTTCTTTGTTCTGCTGATAATATTGGCTCATGTTGTTCAGATGTGCGAGCAAATCCTGATCGATGTTCTCTACCAATTCGTCGAGCGATTCTGAGATAGTTTTATATTGCATCACGTCCCTGATAAAGTCCATCAATCCTTCGAATTCTGCCTGTCGCATGTTACCATCGTATCCGTCTTCCGTCATCTGACAGAACTGAATGAATCTGACGATGTTTAAGAAACACGAACCGTATGCGTGGAAAAGCTGCTTAAGATCGTCCTCCAAATCGCTTATTTCATGGCTTATCTTCATCCTATTGAAGTGATGCAGCAGCAGCTCGCGCTCGTTTTTGCTTTCCGTGTTGTGCATCATCCGCTCGATCCTCGATTTTAATTTACTTGCGATTCGTACATGTTCGTTTCCCATTTTCCACACCACCAGAAGCCCTTTCCAGACGGAGCTCCACTCGTATGTCAACGCTTTCCCTTTGATCTGAAATATGCAATGATTAAACTTCTACTCAATTAATTAAGTAAACATTGATTTACCCATTCGGTGATTTGCGATATCCTTCCAAAGCAAACATCTGAAGCATCGTACATCTCTTCTTCCGAGATCAAGGGAGAAACGACTTGACCTTTGGGCAACAGGCGTACTTCCTCGATCTCTTCAATTAACTGTTGATTCACTAAGAGTTCCATCCAAGGATTTTCAAGTTCCTGTATCTTTGAACGCATATTAACCTTCATCTCCTCTTCCATTTGAGAATTCTCCACGACACTCAAGTATTCCATAAGAACGCTCTTCATGTTTTCCTTCAACTAAACACAAAATAATTAAACAATATTTCGATAATTGCAAACTTTAATTGAGGCTAAATGATCCCAAAAAATGTCTTGCAAATACAAATTAAGAATTAAACAAATGTTTACCTTTAAATATTTCACGATATCACGATTTTTGGTGGGCTCGGAAAAGTCCGCTGCGTATGAAGATTCCTTGTTTGAGATGAAGCTAAAATCTGACATTTTGGCTGTTTTGTAAAAATTTCGGAATGAGACTGAGACTTGCACTGACCGGCAATAGGTACCTAGCCTGGACGCTGTACCCGCCCTCTAAATGCAAGTATCCTTCAAGGAATTACTTTTACATTTCCATAATCCCAGTTCGGTACCTTTAAGTAATGAGAGGGGATGATTTTATGGCACTGCAATAACATTCTAGGAAATTATTCTTTAAACTAAATCGAATATAGTATTAATATAATATTTTCTTCGTATATTTCTATAGCATTTTTATTTTCGCAGTCTATGTATATTTTGGTACAAATTAACATATTTTTTTTTGATAAGGTGCACATGTTTCTGTTGTAAGAGACTCTCTTTTGTTATTCTTACGACCCCATTTAAGAACCTCCTCCCAATTAGTGTTTCTCGGACCCTTTTTTTGGGTTCCCAAGTTTTGGCTACCTCCGTCCCGAATTTACGTGACTGTAAGTGTTTTTTTTTTATTCGTTCTTCACTATTAAAACAAATAATGAAAACTGTGAAAACGAATTGGTAAATTAAGATGTTAAGTATTGAAATTAACAAATATTTGTCCATATTATCTCTGAAAATAAACAAAAAATACACGTTAGGAGTTCCAAATACAAATTACAGCATTGCGAGACATTTTAGTTGTCAGTTTAGTGTCATCGAACAATGACAAGCATTGATTACATATATTTTCACGTATAGTGAAGTTACATCAAAATGTCAAATTGTGTTAAGCGTCAGTTAAGCAATATTATGTAATGAAATTAGGTTGTTCGGAATGTTCGTTTCGATTATTCACGAAAATTAAAAATCAAAACTTTTATATATAGATAAATATATGTATATATCATTTTGATCTATAAACCTTTTTTTATCTTTTACGCAACTTAAATATTTCATCTTCCCAGAATTTGTAAGGTTTTTCATAAAAAACACTTTTCCAGGAGGTTTTTTGATGTCGACTAAAAATTAAACGTTCTTACAGTTAATGGAATTTTGAAAGACCCGAATTAGTGGAAATCGGAAAATGCATTGTCCGGTGAATATTACAGGTGGGCAAATACAACTCTGTCTGACTCCTACCATTTTTGTCAGTTAAATTGTGCGAAACTCATATATCTTAAAGTTTTAAGTAATCAAGCTTAAAAAAATCGCTCTTAGATGTTTGTTTTTGATATATTTTATGTCTGCTAATTCACGATCAATGTCTTGATTTAGGTCGATGGCTCTTTTGCCCGATTATTAATTGTTGTTATTTATCCTTAATAACAATAAATAATATTAATTATTATTGTATTTTTTTTTCGTTGATTTATTCATTATAAAACTTAAGATTAAGAAATATTCTATAATAAAATTAGTTTATGTTATTAACAATAAATAACAACAATTAATAATCTTATTAAATTTTAGATTGTCGGGATTTCGATTTTCGATTTTTGTTCGGGATTATGGTAGTCGGGATTTCGATATATTCGGGATTTTGATACAGTCGGGATTTCGAACGTCGGGATTTCGATACAGTCGGGATTTCGAACGTCGGGATTTCGATACAGTCGGGATTTCGAACGTCGGGATTTCGGTTGTCGGGCTTGCGATTGCCACCGTCGCAAACAGTTTGAGAAACACTGGTAAAATGTATGAGGGTTTTGGGTAGTCATGGAAACACAGTTTATTTCTTAGTTTTATAATATTTATTAATAAAGATGTTGATTTTTTGGAAACTTAAGATAATGATAATAATATAGATATATAATATGCATAATATTCATTATAATTCTCCTCTGAAATCTTATGCGTCTTATCAATTCACACTCTAGTTACCTTCTAAACAAAATATGTCGATATAATATATATATATTAATTGTATTTGCTTTTCTTTTTTTTTAATAATAATAATAATAAAATCATATATCTATGTGAGAAGAACGAAAATAAACAATGTAATGATAGTAATAATTATAATATAATAATTCATTAAATACTTTGTGTAAAATATAACATTTTGTTTATTTAATATATTATTAATATTTATATGTATATATAATATATGTATGTATGTATATAGATATAATTCATATGTGTATAAATAGAACTTTTCTTTAAATTGATAATAATAATATTGGCAAAAAAAACGTAAATAAAAGACTAAGAGGTAATGAAACATAAAATAATAAAAAATAGAATAATCGTGAGTAAATATAGTAATAATAAATTCCTTAAATCGTTAAATGTAATAATAATAATAACGTCGATGATAATTATCTAATAATATATAATCTGTATAATCCACTTAAATTAATCATTTTGGGATGGTGGTGAGATTTACTATTTTCACTCTATTTTTTGTCTCTCCGCTTCGTGTTAAAGGGTGTGTACGGGTTGTGGGATTCTTCGTAGGTTCAGCCCTGCTCTTTTCATCACATCAAAAAGAAAGAAAAAAAAAAGAACACAAAAAAACAAACAAATGAAAAAAGAGGAAACGACTGCGTCTAGTCTGTTTCTTTACATTAATAATAATAACACTTAACATACGAGAAATCAAAACTATGGCAGGTTGAAACTAAACGAAACAAAAGTCATCAATTAAACATTTGCAGTACATTATACAATATTAAATTTTAAAAAAAACTCTTATCATCTAATACAAACTAATAATAATTACACAATAATCGTAGTTAAATAAAATATTAAAAACACAAAAAAAAGCGAACATCTATCTATCTCTATCGAGTGAGCTAACGAACAGAAAATCTGGGAATGAAACTATTTAAAAACAAAAACATAAATAAAACAAAATGGCCTTTTGCGATTTACGATTAAAATTGATGGCAGTTGTTTTTTTTTCTTTTAATTGTTTCACATTAAGACTTTCGTACTCTAAAAATGGTTTTATTATATTATCATTATAATTATGCGAAATGGCCATTTTCTTTTGTTTTCACTTGTTACAAAAAGAAAGAGGTATTTGTAGGTTGGTAGTAGCGCGTCCGTTCCTTTATTTTTTTTTATAAAATTAATTTTCTTTATTAAAAGAAAAAAAAGAGAGAATACAAATAAACTTAAACAAAAACAAATTAATTAGATTATTATTATTAATATTAACAGCTTTGGTTCATAACGAAACATCCACTCGACTGGCAATAGATTTTTGTTTGTTTTTAATGTTGTTTTTTTTATTGTTGTTCTTATTGTTGTTGTTTCATGATTGATATATTCTTATTGCACGCGCACGTGTTTCATCCGATTGATGAAAATTGCAAAAAAAAAAAATTATGATTATCGAATCGCGTTTCGATGCAATGAAGAAAACTAATTCCAAAATGAACGATGATCATGCGCTACACAATTCATGAATCGTAGAAATACTTTCTTCTTTTTATTGAAATATATTTATATAAAGTTATGAATAATTACGGTAATCATAGATTTATACGTTTTCTTCTTAATTTGATTGCTTTAATTGTTTCGTGCAAAAAAAAAATGTTTATTACTTTAGCTGAGGCACGAATTTATTTTACACTTATGTGAGGCCACAATCAAAAATACCAAGAGTAATAACGAAAGGGTTCGTATTATGTAACAATCATTCACGAAGTACGATATTGCACTGATGGCCTTTGTATAATTCAGTTTAGAAAGTGAAATTCTACTGATTTTAAATATGTTTATTATTAAAAAAAAAACGTTATTATCAGTCTACACAAAATTTTGGATAAAACCTACAAATTTTGTTATATTAACTTAAAATTTTCCATTAAATGAGTTTGCAATGAGAATACAGATCGTACTTTACTGAAATGATTGCGACATAAACACCTTCTTCGGGACGGTCTTATTGCCTTAGTACGATGCCCCCCACATAAGGGCGTCTTTCTTAATTATTACTCGATTTGTTCGCATGATAATAACGACTTATCAATTAAAGAACACAGATATAGCTCGATATATATATTTTTTTTCAACGTTTTCTTTTTCATTTTTTTTTACGCATCTTAATCATTATACTTCTTTCAATATAATATATATATATATAATTCTTCAACGATTTTCTTTTAAATATATTTACTTCAAGTTTCTTCTTTCTTGATTTATTTATTTATTTATTTATTTTTGTTAATAAAATATTCTTGTACTCTCTTTTTCTTTATAAAGATTGAGATCTGGTTTAAGATTTGTGTATTCGTTATCTTAAAATTTAGGCAAAATATTTTACGCTGATGTCATTCTCTTAAAACAAAATAAACGTGTTCAATAAGCAATTCATTTGATATATTGACTAGATTATTTTCTCCTGTTCTCTCGAAATCTCAAATTCAATTCAAACGGTCGAAAAATGTTCTTTGGTCAATTTGAATTGTTTGGTTGAAAATTTTTCATTGTTTTGATTTGTCTTTAACGTTTTCGTTTTTTGCTCTCATCGAAAATGACATCTATCAAAAAGTTTGACGTTTTGTTTTCTGTTGGCAGTACTCGTGTTATTCCTTCCTTCCGCCCTGACCTTGATTTTTTTTTTGTGCTTAGGTCAAGGGAGGCGCACCCCCCGAGCGCTTCAATTATTAAATTTCTGTTTTAAGTACACGTTTGATGCGATTTGCGATCGCCGGAGGGCGCTTATTGACAAATGTGTTTCTTTTCCCGGAATTAGGTATCAAAATATAATAAAATTTGAAAGTAAAACAAAACAAAAAAATTAATAGTAAAGAAGAAAAAACGATTACGAATAAACGAATAAAAGTAATAAAATTAATTAATAATATACACAAAAAAAAAATTGCGGACTAGTTTTGGTGGTTGTCCCCAGCTTTTTTTTTTCTTCTACTAATTCTTCATTTCTTTTTTTTTTTTTTTGATTTACGTCTTGATATTTGCTTTTGGTTTTTGTTGGATCGCCTTGGTTCAGGTTTATTCGCCGAACCTGCTGCACGCCTTCTTCCATTTGCATTGCGTGCACCACATATCTTTGTGGTCCATGCCGTAGATCTTGCGGCACTTCTTGCTCTCGCCGCGGGCCCGCCTAGGCGAGGCAGGCGTCTTGGGGCTGTGCGGTCTAGCCGACAGCTTAGGCAGCTTGTGAGGTGATTGAGGTATGTTTATTGGGCCGGTGAGCATCTGCTGTCTGTAGCATCCGACCAGAAGCCGCTGGTATTCGGGGTCTTCGTGGGGAGGTCGCGCCATGTCGCGGTGCGAGAGGGTTGGTGGCGGACTGGACTCGTTCACCTCCCGCTCGGTGTAGTAGAATTCCTCCTCACGATCGTTTGTCTTATCACAGCTGAAACAAGAACAGAGAACTCGGATCAATAACATCGTCTAAACAGTTCCAGTGGATGCGAACACGCAAACCACGAAGAAAACAAGCGCAACTTCAAGGTGAAAATACACCCGAAGTACTATTTTTCTTCCAAAGACGAATACACCTCTTGGCTAATATTAATAACTTCATTAAAGCCGGTTTTCCTTCTTGATAACGACCGCGTAAATCAACATTCTTACAGGATATCTTTGTTGTGAACTTCAAAGGTCAACTACTACTGACATACACACGTAGTAAAATATAGTATTTATGTTTACAATCCTGAAGATTTTTTGGAGAGCGAAGAATCGAAAACAAAATACAACCAAAAAAAAACGCAGCTGTTCTTTCTAAAATAAACAAACATTCGACTACTTTACTATCAAATTACCTCTTGTATACATTTATACAAAACATAACTTAACTACTGCTGTAAATGAGCTTTTTTTTCAGTAAAACATTTCCGCATTAATCTATCAATGTTTGCATTTAGACAAAACATTGTGACACCTACTTTTGTCAGTTTATTAAGTTTCTAAATACAATTATCAAAGGCAATGATAAATATTTAACATTTACTTAAACGCAAATGATTTTCCGAGCAAATAGGTCACTAAACTATACAGAAACACCGTATACGTGACAAACTCGCGGAAAACAAATTTTCTATTTCTGATACAAAACAACATATTGAAACATTAACTTGAATGCATAGAAACAAATAGTTGATTTGTTTACATAATTAATTAGGACTTAAGTCATAAATCATTCCTATTCATAACGTAAATACCTTAAACACTTGATATTTAAATTAAATGAAATTTATCATCTTTCTTCTTATTATGTTAAATTATACAGTTTTCAAAGTTGAAAATGCGAAAAACAGATTACATAATTTACCGAGTAATCTTGAAACATAAATCAAGCAACGGAATGCGTTGGGCATTTTGATTAATTTGATGGACAAAATAGAATCGTTTCAATGCCGATTTCAATTGGGATCGTGGTGACAAGATGTGCAGGCAGGCTTTTCCGAAATGCGACTGCAACCTTGTTTGCATAGCCAGTTTTCCTTCTTGAAAATATCGCCATAAATCAACTGAATAATATTCGCGTGTGAAAGGTTTCATGAGGTCATGCTCTGCGCGTTTTGTGCATTTATAGCGAAATACTGTACTTTATAAGTGCAATAAGAAAGAGTTTTATTATTGCACGAAGGAAAACAACTTATCCAAAATAAATGCATGACGTGAACATATGGTGTATATTTTCTTACTTCCTTACTTTAGGTCACCTGTTTAGTGATTCAGCTTTTATCTACATTCGATTTAATTTTAATTTAACTTAGTTTTCAATAAATTATAATGATTTATTGTTTAAGATAACTTCCATTTGATAAATACTTAAGTAAAGTATTCACTTCACAAGTAACTTGTCAAATATCACATAATATAGTTATTATGTAATCGATGCAAGTATTACCACTTGTAACCAACTTAAACATAGATGACAACTTGCTGTAGATGACATTAATCAAATGTCTTGTATTTTCTTGTTATAATTAAACTGAAAGTTGCTATCAACTGTAACTACACTGTAGTTAATTGGGTTGATGCTAATTTTAGCGAGATTCTGCTCCTGTGTGAATTAGGTCGAATCTTCACGAAATTTACGTTATTTCCGTTTACATTTGCATAATTGCTTGAGCATTTTTCCTTTCAGCCCTAAGAATAACACCGAAAGTTGCGCAACGATTCGCAAAATGGTAACCTCTTCCATTTGCACATTCCTCTGCCATTTGCCGAATGCTATCCCAGCCACGGGCCACTTATTCATTTCTCTTCTGACATTTTTAACTGCCAATTACCATAATGCTGATTAGCTAACAGACACCGAACCGGAGCTTTTCCTTTTTTTTTTTTTTGGTTGCTTGTTTTTGTCCCCGCGGGAATTTCTCTTTCGCAGATTGTTATCATAGCAATCATCGAATTGGGATCGACGAAATATTAATTATGAAAGGCTAAGAAGGCTGGGTGAGAAAAAAAAAACAAATACTGAACGAGTTGGAGACACGCGCGCGCTCGAAGAAAATACAGTTTCTTTCGAATAATATTCGGTCGATGTGTAGACAAGCAGGCAAGCAGTAGCTAAACAGCTATACATATTATAATTTCTTTGGTATTGCGTTTCTAACAGTAAATCATAATGAACCGTTCCAAGGCTCAGCCCAATCTAATTCCTTGGAAGGGAAAACTCGCGCTGGAAGTGCTCGATTTCCCCGTACAAAACTTTGCTCGGTTTCCGTTCACTCCATTGTTGCGCTGCGCTAAATGCATGTAATCGTTTGCACATTGAGTATGGACTCGCATATCAATCAACGTATTTAGTTATATAACAACAAATTCAGTTCGTATCAATCAAATGCATAACGTTAATTATTATTATTCATTATGATTGATTCATCGCTTAGTTTTATTACAAATATAATCAAACTATGATAAAATTAGAAAAAAGCAATTATTTTATACATAATAAATATCAAAAAATATTCTTAAATAAAGAATTATTCAAAGAAAATCTATTTGGTGTATATTTGGTTGCCTATAATGTTAGTCAAAACTTAATATTTCATTGCTATGAAGATATTCGACATTAAATATAAAACACTTTAAGAATTGTCAAATTGAATTGAACTGTAAACTCTACTCATCATATAGCATGCATTAAATTATGTAATATACTTTTGTAAATACTTGGGAAGTGCAAACATTTGAAAATATTGAATAAAACTTAATTGCAATGAAATAATTTTCGCTGATGAAGATGTTTAACTTACTTTAATTGTCAATTGAAATGAGAAATTATATAAAATAATGCAAATGATTCAATAATAATGTTTCATATAGCGTTAAAGTCTTCATTATTTTAACATTTGTTAAATTCTATAACATACTTTTACAAATAATTGGGAAGTAGTATTACTTGCGAAACAGTGTGTAGGAGTTACGCTTTTTGTTCATGAAGATGTCACAAATTGTAACGTCAAAAAAAAAACGTGTTATGTTTTCTCATTTATGATGCATCAAGTTGATAATTAAAACAAAGGATTAAATACGAACAATGATAAATTATGAATTAAGTGTAAACAAACAATAACAATTGTTTTCAATTAATATTAAATAAAGTCCGTAGTCATGTGAATACTTTTTGTTTTCTCTCACTCTCTGTCTATATAGTATATATAAAATTGTTGGAGGTCGAGATAAGCGTTGCCGCACGTAAAGAAGGCTAGACTGGGCTTTGTGCGACGGCAGGTATACAGATTTTTTCCTCTCATTCTTCCAGTCCGTAGGGCGAGGAGCCCTTTACTTTCTGAATTGTAGGGGTGTCTGACCTCTGACGTTTGAAAAAAGATTGTTTTCCTTTGCACCCTCCGTCTTCTCACCACGTGCATACATACACATATTTTCATCCTCCTCACGCTCGGCAATAACTTACTTGAGATGGTCTTTTCTGACATGGGCCTCGATGGTCTCGCACATGTTGGTCTCTATTTGGCATCCGGGCCATGTGCATTGGAAAACTATACGGCGAATAGTCTGAAAACACACAGAAAAAAAAAACACAAATTATTATTGATTCGGTTGGAAAACACACACAAAAGTAATAAGAATAACGTAATCATCTCGAAGAAAACTATTTGTAATTTTAATCTGGCGATAAGGAAAGGCAAGCGTCCGTTTCCTTTTGTTTATTTTCCCCGCATTTATCGCAGATAAAGCCGTGTGCGATCGCTATCGGCAAAATTGAGAAATATTTTTAAACAATGCCTCTCGAAATACCTTTGCCTTCGTGTTATTTATAAATTCGTTGACAGATACACTTTTGACACGATAAGAAATTTGTATTCATTTGTTTCTAATATGAGCTTATTAGTAGTTTTTTGTTGTTGTTGTTGCTAAGCGATTTATAATTATACGTGGAAATTGTATCCACTCATTAAAACGTAATTGATAGATTTCGTAAATTTTTTCAAAGAATTTAATTTTTTTTAAATCAGTCTCATTAACACTAAAGCGATTTTTAATTAGAAAATTATCCAAAATTGTATAAACAACTATTTTTTTGTGCGCTATTAATTTTATTTCAATTTTTTACAAAACAAGAGTAACAATCTAAATTAAATCAATACGTCTTAACATGTAAGTTTTTTTAACTGGAAATATTAAATTAGTTAATTATATTCAACATTTTGGACTAGGAATAAATCTAGTTAGAAGTGACATTTAATACTTGTCACTTTTGTCATTTTGTGACACGTCATTCATAAATACATGTCAAACAAAAATATGGAAATAACTCAGTAGATTCAGTATATTAACATTTCATTGATAAATATTAGATTTTACTACGCAGGTGATTCCACTTTACGAATTCATGAATTATTTCGTAAAACGAGAATTCGTAATAACTGATTAAATGTGAAAATACGTAAAATAACTCGAATTAACGTCAATGATTAAAACGTTTAACCTATTTCCACTTGGTATTCACATGATTCATTCGAATCACTCGGATTCATCTCCTTTGTAAACGTAGTATTGTTTACTACACGGTATAAATAAATCTTCGTTATATTTAGATGGGAACAACAAAATGTTTGTATGTGTGTTACCGAGCTAAAGTAAAAATAGTAAGTTGAATAACCCACTTTTGAACGACTGCCAATGTCAAATGATATACAACGTATTATTTAAATGTATTGTTTTTTTTTGAACGAAATATTTGCATACAAACCTAGTTTTAGTACAAATTAGTTTAAATTATACATGCAAAGAATTTACAAAAAAAAATATCTAAATTAAATTTTAATTTGTTCGTATTGTTTAAAGTATGTTAAATATTATAGAATCGATATATTTCTAGTAATATACTAACAAGTTTTAACAAAATATAATAAATCATGAAAAATCACATAATCTCAATAAATATTTTTTTTCTTAAATTATAGAATTAAAATGAAATTGAATGATTTCAAAATGCATTTCAATGATAACAGCAAACTGACAGACTAGTGTTACATCAATGTGACGGATTCGATTCACAATTAGTCTGCGAATTGACGTAAATCCATGTCATTTATTACGAACAGAAAACAAACAAAAAAAAACTATAGTCAGTGATTTGTTTAATACGGATTGGTAACGTGCACGAAACAATGCCCATTAATATATCGATTCGAATCTCTCTGACGGTAATTGGGAAGGCTCATATTTCTGAATTCGATACTGAAATGCAATATGCGAGTGTGTCCCTACTCGACATCCTATACCAGATTGTCTTTTTCTAGGTATTTCACGAGAGAAATTATAATAATTATTTATTGATGCAAATTTATTTGTAGTTTATAACAGATATTTGTGGATAAGCAAAAAAAAAATGAAAGTTTGAGAAAATCAAGTTACGTGAGTATACACAAAAACAATGCGTTAAAAAAACAGAAGAATTGAAAGGATGTATGTTAAAGAATGTAAATTGACAATGGGGTATCGACCTTTTTGGGTAATTTGGTGAGGAATGTATACATGTAGAATATGTTATTAGTAATTGTAAATAACTTTGGTAATTAATGTTAATATTATTGGGTACATAGATCCTACGCGCGTGTAATAAATCACACGCCTTTGTAGTTTTTGAGTATTAAATGTCAGAGGAAATGAACTGTTTTTGCTGAATAATAAAATTGAATGATAATTCGGTGATGTTAATGTTCTTCGTAAGTTGTTTGATATCCTTTTTGTACATATAAACTGATAAGAAAAAAAGAAACGTATGCAGTTGGAATGCGATATCGTTCTTGCACCAACAACCCGAATGAGTCATCGGTGCTCTTCATTGTTGTTCTTGTTATGATTGTTGCGTGTGTATGTGTATATGTATCATCATCATCGCGACGATTAGTTGTGATCTCTTGTGTTTCAGTTTTGGAGGACGACGCAGCGCGCGAAGGACAAAGAATCTGGACGGAGTATCGACGTGAATGCGCGCTGCGTCCTTTCGATGATGCACCGACCGTTGGAGGCGGCGGCGACGGCACGTGGCACTGTATATAAACATATTGATCTGTCGTCGTCGTCCTCCTCCTCCTCATCCGCCGCCGGTGCAGCCATTTTCACTGCTCATGGCCTACTTCGATCGTTGCGACGACCCTGGCCCTAGCCACTCTCTCTATTTCCCTCAATCCTCTCGGTATCAATCTCGCATTATCAATTAATTCAATATTTGATCATCTACTTTTCCTCTACACACACACTACAGTCTCTATCTACACGCGCGACGAATTAATTTGACCTCATCACCAACCGCTGCTCTCTTCATATGTGTGTTTTATTTATTTTTTTCATCATTATCACTGTTGTCATTGTTAGATAATCGTGTTTTGTTTCACGTACAAAAAGCTAACGCGTTTTTAACAACAAAACAATTGAAATACTCGTGTAATAGATCATTTACCGCCAACCAAAAAAGCAGTTACATTTCCACTATAAAACACTAACTATACAAGATTCTTATATTTGGATAACTATATGAATAAAACAAAATAATATTTGTAGCAAACGTGTATAAATATTTATTGGTCACAAATATTTATTAATGATAAATTATTCAAATTAATTTTGTACACTATATACTTATTTAACATGAACATTTGTAACATCTTTGGCATTTCATTTTTTTTTAAGAAACTATGTAAGGATTCTCAATCATTGCATTGTTCTTTTGTCTCTTTTTACTTTGTTTGACTACTACGTTTTTGTGACAAATGTGTGACAAATATTTATAAATAACCATAAAGAATTCGGGTCGTTAGCCGTTTCATCGTTATCAATTAAATTATGTAAACAAAATAAAATATTTATTAATGATAAATCATTTCATAAACAATTTTGATTAAAATTGAGATTTTTTTTAAACAAAGAGAATGTTCAGTTGTTTCTTTATTCAATATTTGTATGTAACAATTCAAACCTGCTTTATTATCATAAAAAAAATCTTTCTTACTTAACTATTAATTTATAGTAAGCATATATTAAATAGTTAACTCAATAATACTAAATTTATCTTTATAAAGTTTGGTAAACTTTTTAACATTTTCAATAAAAATTTGATATGAATCAAAGGTAAAATATTGTTTTCTTTGTATTCAATTTCATTAAAAACGTATATTTTACGTTAAATAGTAAAGATAATTTAATTAATTTCAAAGCTAAAACTTCGGTTTAACATGGCTGTTAATTTGAATCGGTTCATTTTACTTCAATAATAAGTTGTTTTTTTTAAATTTTCATAAAAACTTGTTGGTTAATAAAAATTGCGTTCTTTTTAAATTAAAGTTAATATTCGCATATTTTGTAATAGTCTAGTAATTCTTGGTTGTTGAATTGATTCGGTTCATTCGACTTGTATGTTCTTGTGAAAACGCGTTTCATAACAAAGAGAAAATCCGACGCGGATCGATTCGAAAAGAATGCGCGGTGCGCAATTTCCACTCGTTTTTTCATTCTATTTGTCGCGTTGGGATTCGATTGTGGGGAGAGAGAAGCATAAGTCGGTCTGTTTGTTTTCCTTCTTCGGTCTTTCGAAGAGCGATTGAACTGCGAGAGATGCAGCAGCAGCACACAACACAGTTATTATTTAATACCTCCACCGATCAGCTGATGCAGCTGCAGGCGCGCGGAGGCACAGCTGATCGGATCCTTGAAAAGGTCCTTTGTGTGACCTCCTGGCCTTCCCCCACCGTCCGACTCCCCTCGCTCTCAAAACGTGTGCAACAGCGAACACTCTCTCTCTCTCTCTCTGCCTCTTACACACACAACTCGATCAGCTGTTTTTCCATAACATCAGCATCCATCCTGCGCGCAGCCCTCGTGCGTGCACTTCGTTATCCGAGGGATGCCCGAAAACCAGAACATCCATCCCCCTCGCACACATAACGATCACGCATCCGAACGTGTATATAAACAAGTGCATGTACATCTCTATACAGTATATATATATTTGATGCGGGGCATCCTCTTCTCTACCTCCTCCTCTGGTTGCTTGCTACCTGTTGAATGGGTTCATTGTACCTAGAATACAAGGGGGGTTGCTGCTTCTGCTGCTGTGGTCGACGCTCTCAGGTGTTTCCAGCAAAAGGCAGCAGCATATATACATTTTTTTTTGTTTGTTCTCACTTTATTCTTTCGCTCTCCTTCCTTCTTTCGACGCGCTCGTAAACGAAACGCTCGGAAGTAAGAAAAGGAATAAATAAATATAAAAATAAAACGTATACGTATATGCATGCATATATGTACGATGATGGGGGCCCGTTCTTGTGGCCTCTCGAAACGCGAATTGAATAAATTGGACGTTTATGAAACGGTACAACTTTACGACCCAACCGAAAGAAACACCCAAAAAAAAATGTACACGGAGGAGGCCGGAGAAAAGAAAGAAAAGAAACCGAAATAAAAGGAGGACGGAGGAGGGAAGAGAGCGTCGAGGATGGAACGTTTTCTTTGACGCCAGTTTCGAGGGTCTACGTGACAGGAGTAAAGTA